ATCATTGATCAGCTGCCTCTTGCACACCCCCCACTGGGGCAAGGTACATGCCCTTGACCGGAATCAAACCCAGGACCCTTCAGTCCGCAGGCGGATACTCTATCCACTGAGCCAAACTGGTTTCGGCAAAATAGTTTATTCTTATATTATTTATTAATTATTGTATTATCTTCCATATGAAAACTATAAACCTACTTTTGCCCCACCCTGTCTATCTTTTTTTGAAAAATAACTAAGTCATTTGCCTATTTTCAATTCAGTTGTCTTTTTAAAAAATATGTATATTTTTATTGATTTCAGAGAGGAAGGGAGAGGGATAGAAACATCAATGATGAAAGAATCACTGATTAGCTCCCTCCTGCACACCCCCTACTGGGGATCAAGTCCGCAAGCTGGGTATGTGCCCTGACTGGGAATAGAACTGTGACCTCTTTGTTCATAGATTGACGCTCAACCACTGACCCACACAGGCTGGGCAATTCAGTTGTCTTCTTGTTGCTGAGCTGTAAGAGTTTTAAAAAATATATTCTGGGTGTTAATCTCAACCATTCTAAAGGTTGTCTTTTCACCTTCTTGATAATATCCTTTAATGCAAAAATATTTTTAATTTAAGTCCAATTTATCTACGTTTTCTTTTGTTGTTTGGGCTTTTGGTGTCAAATCTGAGAATCTATTACCAGTCCAACTTCCTAAAGATTTACCTATTTTCTTCCAAGAATTTTATAGTTTTAGCTGTTATTTTTAGGTTTATCTATTTTTGAGTTAATTTTTATATAAAATGTGAGGTAGGGGTTCAACTTCATTCTTTCACATGTATTGTATTATTTAGTTGTCCTGCCATCTATTGAAGGGACTATTCTTTTTCCCCACTAAATGGTTTTGGTACTTTTACTGAAAATCAATTGGTCACAGATGTTTGCATTTGTTTCTAGACTCTCAATTCTATTTCATTGGCTTATATGTCTATTTTTATGCTAGTACCACAATGTTTTAATTATTGTAGGAAGCTTTGAAATTAGGACATGTGAATCTTCCTGTTTTTTTGTTGTTCTTGTTGTCCCCCCCCCCCCCCCCCCAATATTGTTTTGGCTACTCAGGGCTCCTTAAAGTTCCAAATAAATTGAGGATCAGTCTCTCCATTTTTGCATAAAAATTGGGATTTTTAAAATCCTTACATGAGGATATGTTTATTGATTTTAGAGAGCAAAAGAGAGGGAGGGTGGAAGAGAGGAAGAGAGACATCAATGTGAGAAACACTGGTGGATGCCTCCTGTCCACAACCCAAATGGAGATAGAACTCACAACTTAAGTGTGTACCCTGACCAGCAATTGAACCTATAACTTTTTCTTTAGTGTATGGGATGATGCTCTAAGCAACCAAGTCACTTGGCTAGGGCAAGACTATTGGAATTTTGATAGGCAATCTGTAGATTGCTTTCAGGAGTACTATCATCCTATCTAATAAAGAGGTAATATGCAAATTGACCATCATTTCAACACACAAAATGGCAGCCCCCAGGTGGACACATGATGGCTGCCACAAGATGGCCTGAAGGGGAGGGCAGTTGTGGGCGATCAGGCCAGCATGGGAGGGCAGTTGGTGGTGACCAGGCCTGCAGGGAAAATAGTTGGGGGGAACTAGGCCTGCAGGGGAGGGTAATTGGGGGTGACCAGGCTGGCAAGGGAGGACAGTTAGGGGTGACCAGGCCAGCAGGGGAGGGCAGTTATGGGCAATCAGGCTGGCAGGGGAGCAGTTAGGCATCAATCAAGCTGGCAGGGGAGTGGTTAGGGATGATCAGGCTGGCAGGCAGAAGTGGTTAGGGGTAATCAGGCAGGTAGGCAGGTGAGCAGTTGGGAGCCAGCAGTCCTGGATTGTGAGAGGGGTATCTGAGGGATCCCAGCTTGGAGCTTTGCCTCAATATAAATTAGCTTTTATCACCCCTATACCCATGCTATTGAAACTTTTATAAGATTATGCATGTAAACCTAACTGTCAAATGTAAAACTGACCCTTGGACAATGCAGGGGTTAGGGATGTTGATTTCCTGCACAATTGAAAAGCCACATATAAATAATAATAAATAAAAACTTAATTACTAATAATCTACTGTTGACCAGAAGCCTTACTGATAATGTAAACAGTTGATTAAAAAATTTCTTGTTTACTAGACCTTCTTGGGAGGAGCTGACACAACTGACTCAATCCACTGTAACCCTACTCGTGGGGAACCTCTCATGATTTTCTTCTTTCTCTTGCTATCCCTTCCTAGTCTCTTTTATGGGCTCTTCTTTTTTTAAAAATAGAACTGAGAGGGGGAAAAAAACAATATCGATTTGTTGTGACACATATTTATGTGTTCATTGGTTGCTTCTTATATGCAGGATCAAACCCACATATTGGTGTATTGGGATGACGTTCCAACCTACTGAGCTACCCGGCCAGGCCAAGGGCTCTTCTTAAATATTCATGTTTCCCTAGGATTTTGTTCTGCATCTATTTTATTTCACTATACACATTCTCTCTAGGGGACATTCTTGGCTTCAGCTTCCACCTATTATTGCATGACCCTCTATTTTCAGACCAGACTTCTAATAAACTTTAGACCTATATATCCAACTATATACTAAACACCTGGACTGTTACACAGGGAAGACAGTTCTCCCATGTGTGAAACAGAAACTTTTATCCTTTCACCCAATTTGGCCATCCATTTTCTATCTCTGTGAAGGGATTGCTATCCAACCAACAGCCAAGGAAAAAATTCTAAGCTCATAATTCTATTGTTCTTAATGCTCAGTCACCAAATTTTGTTCATTTTTACCTCCCCGATATTTTTCACAACCATCCATAACACACATACATTCTAGCTCTGCTGTCATTGTCTTGGTTCAAGACTTTACAGTATCTACTAGATAACTCAATATTTTCCTTCCATTTTTAGTTTTTAATTTTATTCTTATTTTTCAGTGTATAATTAATGACTTCCAACTAGGAACACCATTCTTTCATTTACTCAACAAACATTTATTGAGTACCAATATTGTGCCAGATATTGTTCAGTTTCGGGTGTTTGGGATATAGCAAACAGAAAAGACAAAACTCTATCTGGGGAGAGAGATAAATAACAAACATAAATTAGAATACTATATGATTCATTATAAAATAGGAAAACTCCTAGCAAGGTAAGAGTCCTTTTGTGTTCAGTAGTAATCTATTCATAGCCCTGTCATGGGCAGCAGATTCTGTACTAAAATGTTGTGTAACTGTGGCTGGTAGAGAGTGTCTAGTTTAGATCTAAGCTGTGTTCCTCCAATGGTTCTGATGAGTCTAGCTGTGACTGGAGGGATCTCTCTGCATGAGAACAGAAGAGCCCCCTGGAAAGATGCTGGAGAACTTAAGTTAAAAACTAAGTTGCATAAAATTCGTATATGGGTAGGGTCCGTAGGCCTGGCCAGCGATCAGGGCCTATCTGTGAGGTGAATGGGGCACTCACAAGCCCCAACCCCTGCTGCCACCGGTTGCCTCCCTCTGTGGGGTGACAGATGGGGCAATCATAGCATGAAAACAACTGCTATGATTTTTAAAAAAATCTTTTTGCTTGCTTGATTACTGAAAGAAATACAATGAGGTAAAATAGTGTTTTATAACTTATGTCTCAAAAATTTACCCAGAACACACAATTGGTATATTAGTATTTTTCCTAAAGTAAACAAAAATCAAAGGTGTAATTAATTCTTTGACATGGTAATAAAAACTATACTATGACCTTTATACATTTTAGGATATTTACAAAAGCTCTTCCTTAAGGATTATTTTAAAATATTTTTGTCTTCTTTTAAAAAATAATTTGGTTTCAAATATTAAATCCCCAAATTTGAATTAAGCCAGTATTTATAGAGAAATTTCAAAAAAAAAATTTAGGAAAAAAAAAAATTTAGGAATTTTTTAATGCTATGAAGGAATATTTTAATGCTATGAAGTCCTGTTTAATTATGGCCAATTCCCTAATTAAAAAAAAAATAAAGCTTAATATTTACACAGCATTTATTAAACTATTAATGAAAGAAATGTTAGGAAAAGGAAATTTCTAGTAATAAATAGATTTTTTTAAATTTATTTTTTAATCTTTAATTTTTAATATATTTTATTTATTTTTTACAGAGGAAGAGAGAGAGATAGAGAGTTAGAAACATCAATGAGAGAGAGACGTCGAGCAGCTGCCTCTTGCACACCCCCTACTGGAGATGTGCCCGCAACCAAGGTACATGCCCTTGACCGGAATCGAACCCAGGACCCTTCAGTCCACAGGCAGACGCTCTATCCACTGAGCCAAAACGGTTTCGGCAATAAATAGATTTTTTAAAAAAGTGTTTCCTAAATTCTATAATTATATTAGCTAAGTATTTATTTCTCTAAGCAAGATAAAAAAAAATCATAGGCAGTAACTAATGACTATAAAATACAAGGAGTATTTTATATATTATAAAATACAAGGAGTGATTACATTTTGTGAGCATATCTATAAAATACAAGGAATGATTACATTTTGTGAGAACTTCAAAGAAGATTCATCTTATATGAAGAATATAAATTCCCTTGTTAGAAAATTAGAACTATTCACTAAATTTATTCAGATTTGACTGTCAGTAAATAAGTACCCTGGAACACTGGGGGCAATAATGAACTATTGCTGAAAGATATCTCATGACCATATTTATTTTAACCATAATCATATACTGTACAAACACTAAAAACTATCAGATGTATAGCTGCTTAATAAAATTTAATTTGCTATTATTTTATTCCATAAAGCTCTTTGAATAATACACTATAAAATTTTTTATAGTCTGAGGTTTAATTAGACCAGCTGAAAGAGCCTAGAAGAGGAAATTTTCTTCCTTCCCAACAATACTTACAAATTGTTTTTAACCTAAGGGGAGAAAGATAATTTATTATTGATTAACATATTCTAAAGTAACACAGAATGAAAATTGATTACCTTATCAAGTAGCAACAGAAGAGTAAACTAAGGATGAAGACAAATATAGCAGTTCCAAAAACCACAATATATATGTTGAGAGGCAGATTCTGGAATCCAATATTAGGCATCCTGAAGTTGTAATGTGGGAAATCTGAGCTCATGGATGAACTGTGGGGGGGAAAAAAGAATTTAAAAAATTAGGTTATAAAGACCAAGAACCAAGACAGCATCATCTTTGTACATGTACAGTAGTACTTCTTTATCTTTGGGGTATACTATTCATTCCAAGACCCTTAGTGGATTCCTGAAGGGTACCAAACCCTATCCTATCTAATAAAAGAGTAATATGAAAACTGACTGTGCCTCTGCTACACCCACAAACCACGCCCACCAGCCAATCAGGAGCAAGTATGCAAATTAACCCAACCAAGATGGCTGCAGCCACAGAGAGAGCAGAAGGCTTGGGTTTCCCCAGCAATGGAGGAAGCCAAGCTCCTGCAGCCCTGGCCTCCAGTGAAGGCTACAAAGTTTCAATTATACCGTGTTTCCCTGAAAATAAGACATCCTCCGAAAACAAGACCTACTTATAGGTTTCCTTCTGAGCGAAATATAAGGCATCCCCCGAAAATAAGGACCCCCCCTAGGCTAAACATGAGAGATTTGGTCCACTTATTCTGAAAGAAATGGAGTCACAAGAAATTCACCAGGAAATTCAGGAATTGGATTGTTATGATGATGTTCCAGAAGATGATGACATGATTGCCATTGAATAAATGAGTAAATTCTTGATACTGTAGGGTTCACAGTTTGTCTGGTTTGTGTTGACAACTACGGCACCGTACTACCGTACCGTATACAGGTAAGAAATTTCCTTTATTTTCATTTAACAATAAATGTGTACCGTATTCTTCTTCATAGAAAAATAAGACATCCCCTGAAAATAAGACCTAGCGCATCTTTGGGAGCAAAAATTAATATAAGACCCTGTCTTATTTTTGGGGAAACAGGGTAGAAGATAAATAAGTCCCAGATATCAGGGCCTCTGCTTGGGTCACTGGGGGGGCGTAGTCGGCTTAATAAAATTTAATTTGCTATTATTTTATTCCATAGGCCCCTCACCCAGGCCACCCCACATTTCAAGGGAACCTCCACCCTCATCTGGGACACCCTTCAGGGCATACCAGCTGGTCCAGGCCTCTATCCTATCTAATAAAAGAGTAACATGCAAATTGACCATCACTCCAACACAAGATGGCTGACCCCATGTGGACACAAGATTGCTACCATAAAATGGCATACAGGGGAGGGCAGCTAGGAGGGACCAGATCTGCAAGGGAGGCAGTTGGGGGCAATCAAGCCTGCAGGGGAGGGCAGTTAGAGGTGACCAGGCTGGCAGAGAAGGAAAGATGAGGGTGACTGGGCCTTCAGGGAAGGGCAGTTGGGGGGGGGGGACCCAGGCCTGCAGGGGAGCAGTTAGACATCAATCAGACTGGCAGGGGAGTTGTTAGGGGGTGATCAGGCTGGCAGGCAGAAGTGGTCAGGGGTGCAGGCAGGTGAGCAGTTGAGAGCCAGCAGTCCTGGATTGTGAGAGGGATTTCTGACTGCCCATTTGGCCCAATCCTAGCGGAAGAGTCCCAGATTGGAAAGAGTGCAGGCTGGGCTGAGTGACACCCCCCCACCCCCCAATGTATGAATTTTGTGCACTGGGCCTCTAGTACTATCTAATAAAAAAGTAATATGGAAATTGACCATCACTCCAACACATAAGATGGATGCCCCATGTGGACACAAGATGGCCACCACAAGATGGCCAACAAGGGAGGGGGGCAGTTGGGAGGGACCAGGTTGGCAGAGGAGGGAAGTTGGGGGCAACTGGGCCTGCAAGGAAAGGCAGTTGGGTGGGACCCAGGCCTGCAGGGGAGAGTAGTTGGGGGGGACCAGGCCTTCAGGGGAGGGCAGTTAGGGGCAATCAGGCTGGCAGGGGAGCAGTTAGGCATCAATCAGACTGGCAAGGAAGTGGTTAGAGCACATGTGTCAAACACAAGGCCCGCGGGCCAAATCTGTCCCGCCAGGCCTTGCAATGTGGCCCGCACCGCGCTGTCATCACTGCACTCCGCTGCGTTTCCATCACAATGACAGTTTATGACTGTTCAGTAAACCATTCGGCCCGCAATTTAGGCTGGATTTTAGATTTTGGCCCCTTCTCTGATTGAGTTCGACACCCCTAGGTTAGAGGGTGATCAGGTTGGCAGGCAGAAGCGGTTAGGGGCAATCAGGAAGGCAGGAAGGCAAGTAGTTGGGAGCCAGCAGTCCTGGATGTGAAAGGGATCCCAGATTGGAGAGGGTGTAGGCTGGGCTGAGGGACAGACCCCCATTTCCGCCCCCCCCCGCGCATGAATTTTGTGCACCGGGCCTCTAGTATATTTATATAAACTCTGTTTTTTTTGGATACATGCATACCCATGATAAAGTTTAATTTACAAATTAGGCACAGTAAGAGATTAATAGATTAACAACAATAAGTAATATATTAAAAAATGAAAAAGAGAAAAACTGTATGCTGAGATTAAAATAAAAAAATCTATAGAATTCATTTAAATGTATGATTTTGTAATAATACAAATAAGCAAAACTGGCTCAAGAAAAAAAATCCTGAAAATATAAAACTCTATCTTCACAAAAAGGCCTCAGACCCTGAGGGCAATGGATGTGGAAGTCAAGCTAAAATTCTATAGATAATTTCTCTGTTAATCCAGAGAGGGAGGTTTGGGGACAGGGGGGAAGGAAAGTGTCTCAACTCATTTTAAGTGGCAAGCATAATCCTGAAACCAAAAGTAAAACTATACAGCCAGAGTTCATTAACTCTGGGGCCTTAAGAATATATTTTGTTTTGCCTACACAATTAAAAAAAATTGTTTTTTGGGGGGGCAGAAGAGGGAAGAGAGGAGAGGTTAACTGGGGGGAAAGGAGACATGTAATACTTAAAAAAAAAAAAAAAAAAAAAAAAAAGGAAGACAACCACGGAGGATAAATATTGATTTGAGAGAGAGATAGAAACATCCATGAGAGACATCCATTGGCTAGCTCCTACTTGGGATAGAGCCAGGACATGTGCTTGATCAGGAATTGAACAGGTGAACTCTTTTACTTTATTTGTTGTTAATCCTCACCAGAGGATATTTTTCCATTAATTTTTAGAGAGAGTGAAAGGGAGGGAAGAAGGGAGGCAGAGAGAAACATTGGTCCAGGGCCGGGGATTGAGCCTGCAACTGAGGTATGTGCCCTTGACCTGAATTGAACTCAGAACCCATCAGCCTACGGGCTGCTACTCTATCCACTGAACCAAACTGGTTAGGACTGAACTAGTGAACTCTTGGTTCATGGCTGGATGCTCAACCACTGAGCCACACCTATGCAAAGTTTTAACAACTGAGATAACAGTTTAAATTTGGGATATTTAACATAAAATTTGCAATTTTCAGCATTACATGGGAAAAGCTCAGATGATCTGATAACTCTGAGGCTTCATTCTTTCATGGCAACAATATAGGAGCACCCAAATACATAAAAAAAAAACTTCTGGAGGATATCAAGGAAGAGATTGACAGCAATACAGACATAGAAGGGGACTTTAACACCCCACTAACACCACTGAACAAATCCTCTAAACAAAAAAAATAGCAAACAAACATCAATCCTAAATGACTCAATAGGTCAGATGTAATAAATTGACATCTTCAGAACATTTTACCCCAAAGCCACAAAATATACATTCTTCTCAAGTGCACATGGGTCATTTTCAAAAATAAACTATACATTGGGACACAGGCAAATTCTCTTCAAATTCAACAAGATAGAAATCTTATCAAGCATCTTCTCAGATCACCAACTTACACCAAACACAAAACAAACTCAAAATGGCTAAAGGATTTGAATGTAAAACAGGAAACCATAAAAATATACAGATACTAGGGCAAGAGAGATTAAGGAGAAAATAAACAAATGAGACTACATAAAAAGGTTCTGCACAACAAAAGAAACCATCAACAAAACAACAAGAAAGCCTTCTGGGAGAACATATTTGTCAATGTTTCTCTGATAAGGATTTAATCTCCAACATTTACAGGGAATTCATACAACTTAACAAAAGGAAGATAAACAATCCAATCAAAAAATGGGCAAAGGATCTAAATAGATACTTTTTGAAAGAGGATATTCAGAAAGCCAAGAAACATATAAAAATATGCTCAAAGTCACTAATCATCAAGAGATGCAAATCAAAACAACAATGAGGTACCATCTCCACACTTGTCAGAATGGCTTTCATCAACAAATCAACAAATGACAAGTGTTGGAGAGGATGCAGAGAAAAAGGAACCCTTCTCACTGCTGGTGGGAATGCGGACTGGTGCAGTCATTGTGAAAAACAGTACGGCATTTCCTAAAAAATTAAAAATGGAACTGCCATTTGACCCAGTAATACCACTTCTAGAAATATATACCAAGAAAACAAACACCAATCAGAAAGGATAGATGTACCCCTATGTTCACAGCAGCACAATTTACAATAGCTAAGATCTGGAAACAGCCTAAATGCCCACCAGCAGATGAATGGATTAGAAAACTATGGTACATCTGCTCAATGCAATACTACACTGCCATAAAAAGGAGGACTTTTTTATTTTTTACTTTTACCATTTGCAGCAACATGGTTGGAACTGGAGAGCATTATGCTAAGTGAGATAAGCCAGTCAGTGAAAGAAAAATACCATATGATCTCATTCATTTATGGATAATAAAGAACATTATAGCCTGATGAACAAAAAAATAGATACAGAGGCAGAGAAGCATTGAACAGACTATCAAATTACAGTGGGAAGTCTGGGAAGGGTTGGGGTGGGGAGGTAAGAGATCAACCGAAGGACTTGTATGCATGCATATAAGCATAACCAATGGACGCAAGACTTTGGGGGTGGGGGCGGGGTGAAGTCATGTGCTGGGGGATAGGGGAGGTCGGGGGAAGGTCAATGGAGGGAAAAAGGAGACATATGTACTACTGTGTCATACTTTAATAAAATAAAGTTAAAAAACAAAAAAACCTGATATTCACAGTGTGTTGTGTTGCCAGTGTTTTTTTAATGTATTTTGTGGTTGTTTCTTTAAAAATA